ATCTCTCAGGTTGCTGTCCTGGAAGATGATTGGGGAAAAGTCTTTTAAATCCGACCGTGATCAACCATGATGACACAAAGAGAGAAGGGCAATAAGAGGAGAACAGGGAACTAGACTGGTTAAGCGGATATGCCCGAATTCTTGTTGAATGTACTATGAGCACTGATTGCAGGACCGTTCGGAGGCCCATAAGGAGCCACCGACCAGTCTACATTATGCATCATGATCTCATAATAATACTTTCTTTACGCTAGTCTGTACAATAGCAATGTTGGTTTACATGTTTCTCAATTATTGCCGGGGAGATGGGATACACCTGGCTATAGGTTAGACAAACAATTTACATAAAGGATTATGTTCGCTACACCGGATGGAGAGCACAACCTTGGGCATGCGAGCTTAGACCCAGGGACTTGGACTCCTTTCCCTTTTCCCCTCTCCTCCCATTCCCTCTTTCCCTTTACCTCCTCCCCCTCCCCCCTTCCACTCGTTTTGTATGCTATGTTGCGGTGATGACGAGAAGCTTTATTGTTTGTACTTGTATGAGAAAATGATAATAAAACTTGTTGGAAATTAAAAGATACTAGGGCATGTTCATGAGTACTTCTACAGAAGCAGCAAAGGGATGATACTTCCTCTACACTGAATGGAAGGGCAGGGAGCACAAAGCGTGCGTAACACTCCACCTAGTGGACGTGTTCAGTCCTCCACCACTAACCCTTACTGTGGTGAAAACTAGCGGTGATGGGAAATGGAAAAGGCATCCAGTGGTGCTGCCTGACTGACCTTACTAACAAAGCGGGTCTTCAGGTATGGAGAAAGTGCCACAATGCAGAGACCAGTGACCTAAGGTCACATTACAGGCTAGCCCTTCAACATTCAGTCCAGTGGGGTTCAGGAAAAAAACACCACCAGCATTAAAAAAAAAAAAGAACACTTTAAGTCACCAAGATTACAATACTAGCAAAAAGATTAGTCAGACATTTTTTCACTGGAGCTGAAGAAAAAGCTGTCCAACCTGCAAGGACACTAGCAAGAGGCATGCTGGGTAAGAAAGTTGCTAGCTTACAACTTTTTGTGTTGGTGTCCCAACCTCTGGTAGGCAGCAGTACTAAACATAATTGTCGTGTCCCTCAATGGAGGATAAATTACATTTTTTTTTTTTTATCTGTTACATTACTCAGAAATACACTAACCTGCCAAAAAAAAAAACAAACAAAAAAAACAGAACAGCTAACATAATAATACACACCATAAATTTGACAGGCCACTGTCTGAAGGTTTTGAAGTAATTCCTTGTTTGACCGAGCGGCAGCGGTATATATTGTATCAATCATAAGGGAAGAAAGCTGATGGTTTCTTGGACCAAGATGAACAAGCTGAACTGGTAAGCTGGCAAGCCATCGAGATAAAACCTTACTTCGGCTCCTGTAAAAACAATATAAACATTTTGAGATTTTTTTTTTTGCTTTAATACACACTCCTACAACGAAACAGCTTTAAGTATCTTTGCTTACTGTAATCTCCATTTATATGATTAATTTGTTAGTTAACTTGGTAGAGAAATCAATAATACATTTGTAAACAGTAAAACAGTATGTACTGCCAAACATTTAGACTACATTTACATTAAAATTATTAAAGCCCGGGGGCGTGGCCAGCCATGGTGGTGTGAGGACGTGCAGCCAGGAGCTCTGCTATACCGGGACTCTCCTATAGTAAATATTCAGCCTTCTACCACCCTTTTTCCCCCTATGCCCGACGATCGGGACTCACCTGGGGCTACTGCTTCTGCTTCCTCCTCCCCGGACATTGCCTCGTACTTCACGTGGCACCCACGCGACAGCCCGCCGGACGCAACCACCGCGATAGGCCGCGAGATGCCGCCGAAAGTCGCGCCGGCGAAGAAGGCCGGGACGGATCCTCCACTGCCTCTGACGCCAGCCCAGAGCCTCCGCTCCTTGGTTCGGACCGCGGGACAGAGACCGCTGGACCCACCGCAGCTTCTGCACTCCACTGGGGCCCCGACCCCATCCGCGGCCGCACTGGACTCGTCGACGCTGGCTGTGTTCCAGGAAGTAGACCGGCCTGAGGAGGCAGACGGGGAACCTGCGGCCTCTGAGGTACGTGACCTTCTAACCTCTCCCACGCTACCTGCTTACACATCAGCCTGGGAACGTGAGCTGGAGCTCACTTTTACGAGCGACGAGTGGGAGAAGTCGTTTGCTCTCACGCACTCTGTCAGTCGCCAGCAGGGCTCGCGAGAAAAACCTTAAGATACTCACCAGATGGTACCGATGCCCTACAGTCCTCCATCGGTACTACCATACAGTGACCGATGCCTGTTGGAGGTGCAGTGCCTCCCCTGGAAACATAGAACAGTAGAAAGGCATCATGGCACTATCGTTTGTTTTGCTTCCCCTGGAAACATGACACATATCTGGTGGGGCTGTCCGCAGCATCAAGGGTTCTGGAGGGGAGTAAGGTAAAAAAAAACTACCCCTGCAGTGGGGCTACCCCCACACAGGAAGGGTCATCTGCTTGTTTATGGCTAGGGCAGCTGGGTAATAGTCTTTAACTTACTTGTTTCCTGCTCCACTGGCAATCAGTGCTCACATCGCTCTCCTCCACATCCTCACATATAATGCAGTGCTATGGGCCACCGTCTGCTGGCATGTAGAGGGGTAAGAGGCTGTGGCACTGGTCTCGGAGCCTGTGGGATCAGTAAAATGCTTTACACAACACCCCCAGCCAAAAAACACGAGTCATGAACCCTTGCATTGCAGGGGTAGCCCCACTGCAAGGATATTTCCCCTTTCATGAGCTTTGGATTTTTGTTATTTTAATATAGCAACATGGATTTTTATCCACCATGGTTGACATTGTTTGACTGAATTCAAAATGTCGTGATCATCAAAATCAAAAGGGCTATATACAGAATTGTGAGAGTCCATGAACTAGTGATGCACCAAAATGGAATTTTGAGACCGGAACTGAAAATGAAAATTGTCAGACTGAAAACGAAAATGTATTTTTTTAAATCTTTTTAAAAAAGTGTTAAATTATTTTACTTTTGTTTCTTTTTCTTTACTGTCGGGGCTCCCAGGGAAATATTAGGGGTCTAAACCCCTGATATTTCCCTTTTACAATAGAAAAAAAAGATATTGAGGACACAGCACACAATCTCTTTCTCTGCAGCCCCTGTTATAAATGAACAGGAAGCCTCTATACTGAGCGTTCCTATTCATTCATGATTGTGGACATAGTAAGTACACTATATCCACAATGTATGAATGAACAGGAAGTGATGTAGATCACTTCCCATTCATTCATAACTAGACCTAGTAAGTACACTATATCCAGTTATTTACAAACACTCATCGATTAGCTGGTCAGTGAATGTTTGTATACCAACTCCAGCTCCACCTCCTGTGACAGATCACAGCTGATACTGCCCCACACCACTCTCCATCTTGACACAGGAGGCCGAGCCGGGAGGTGAGGGAGGAGAGCTTGGCCTCCTGCAACCATGACAGCTATCAATGTGCATCGCCACTCTTCATCCCAACACAGGATGCCGAGCCAGGCATGGTGGGAGTAGAGCTCGGCCTCCTGACATGTTGACAACTGTCGCCGCCCGCACCGCTCGGCATCCTGAAAGAGTCTCTCTTCCCCGCTGGGTGCTGTCGATGCATCGGAAGCCACACAAACCGGCGCCCAGCAAGGAGAAGAGATGATGGGATACACTAAATTTCCGTCCGTCATGGCACTTTCGGCAATTAGCCAATTTTTCAAAACTGGAGCAGAGAGAATCTGGAGCAGTTTAAAATGAAAGACAGAAGTTGGTTGGTTACTATTGGCATAATGAGTATTATTGCACCCAAAATAAGTTTTAATGCTGAAGACAGAACATCACAGAAGGTTCATTCGTGTTGATCAGTCATCCCAGCTCCTCCAGAGTTTGAATGGTGATCCTGACCTTGGCTTTCAACTCTTGAGGCAATGGAGCTCCAGGCAACTGATGGTCGAAGTAACCTACTATAGAAAAGCCCATTGCTCCAAGAAGAGCACCAAACTAACTCCAAGCGCCCATGAGAAAGAGGACTCAGGGAGAGGTCACAGAGGCGGGTAGCTCAGAATAGGACTTGCAGACTTCACTCAACGAATGATAGGGATTGTTTTTTTTCTGGGTCTCTATATTAGGGTGGTGGCCATCTAGTTACTGGCAGGATTCTGCTTCCTCATATTAGAGCCTCAAACAAGGAGTGCAGTGGTATTGCATAGGCACAATTAACATTTCTAGGAGGTCTCCCTATAAAAAGGTATCAATCAAATGTACAGAAGCTACTTACATCTGGAACAGGTAATGTTTTTGATGGAATACAATATTTTTAGTTCTTTGTCGTTAAGCAACTACATGGACAAATACTTATATGAAACAGTCGTTAAACAAAGTCAAGAACTTGCAAAACAGAGTCTTACCTCCCCAAGCTGAGGAACATTTCTTCTTCTTTTAAGTAAACCCTATTAAAAAACTTCAGAAGCATTGAGCGCACTGATAAAAGTAAATCTCGTTGCTGGTATGTCATATAAACTGCTTGAATCAACTTCTCTGTAGCCACTGAAATATACAACAAAATATAATTGGCTGAGGTCAGTTCAAAGTAAAGAATATTATACTATTTTAAATGTTCAAAGTGGATTAATTAGCAAAACTGGATACTAACCCACATGGAAAATGGACGGTACAAAGTGTAAACTCCATTTGGGTAAATAATTGTCTTCTGTGTGCCCCATTCACACCACAACATGGGTGTGATGTGCGGTGCAGTGTGAAAAATTTCTGACATGCAGCATTTTTTCACAGCGAACTGCGCTGCTGTATGGAGTAACTGCCGTTGTTTATTTGCTGAAAAATGGCAGTCACCACTTATGGTGTGAACAAGCCCTAAAGTAGAATATTCTACAGAACCTACAGTCTCCAAACCCTGTGGCCTAGAAAGGAAGACAATGTGGAACTTGATAATTTAATCCCAGGATTAAAGCTTACCTGGCATTAGATATATTTTTACTTGTTACGTGCACGCATGCTTATGAATATGCAAGCACAACACACACAGGTATTGCCTCCAACAGATCACAGTACTCCCCCTGACAATGCCATTATCGGCTTCCTAGACTGATATGCTGGCTTAAAGATTACATAATCATATAAATCCTTGTGCCTCTGCATAAGGAGAAAGTAGAATGAGCTTATCAGTTTTCTGCTTCTCCTTATCCAGTCACATGGTGGGGATGGGGAGAGGGAAAATATCTAAGACAAAGCAAAATAAAAAAGAGCAGGTCCCCTCCCCTGCTAGACAGGGCTAAGCTATGAGGGATTGTGCTTTGAAAATGTCAGGATTGGCGGGACAGAAAATCAAATCCTTTGTCAGGTAAAACAACTCTCATATATGTATTTTAACTGTAAGTGATACATACTAAAATCACAAACTATGATCTAGTGAAAAAGGTTTCAACCTGGTAATGAAAGGGTTAAATGACTTCTTCTACAAAGATCACCACTACTCAGTCACCTTCCCCTATTAATGTACCAGACCCACCATCGCACTTGTTACTTTCCTGTTTTGACTCTGTCACCACAGAGGAGGTTACAAAGCTTCTCACTCACACCACTAGCTCCCTGGAACACCACTACTTCGGTCACCCTCTTGCTCTATCCTACACTCTCTTTCTCACATTTTCCAATCTTTCTCTCTCTACTAGCATCTTTCCTTCCCCTCTAAAGCATGCGCTGATCACCCCAATACCCAAAAAACCCTCACTGGACCCAACCAACCTCAAACCTATCTCCTTACTCCCATTCATCTCCAAACTCCTAGAATGCCTAATCTACAACTGTCTGAGCTGCCGCCTTGCTAATAACTTTCTGGACCCCTTACAGTCCGGCTTTCGCCCCGTACACTCCACTGAAACCGCCCTCCTAAAACTCACCAATGACATTAATAACAGCTAAAAACAATGGCCACTACTCCTTACTCTTGCTATTAGACCTTTCTGCTGCTTTTGACACTGTTGACCACCCGCTCCTCCTCAAAAAAACTCCACTCGCTTGGACTACAAGACTCTGCTCTGTCATGGTTATCCTCCTACCTAGATAGACTCAGTGTCCTTGCGTGTCACTAATCTACTAACTGACATATCAGTCTGGATGTCACAACACTTCTTAAAACTCAATCTGTCAAAAACTGAGGTCATGATATTTCATCCTGTCCGTGCATCTTCCTCCCAACTTTTCCCTTGAGATTAATAAGACAACTATCCAGCCCTCCTCCCATGCCAATGTGCTAGGTGTCATCCTGGATTCAGACTTCACATTTCTGCCCCACATCCAATCACTATCCAAATCCTGCCGCCTTCACCTTCGTAACAGCTCCAAAATACGCCCCTTCCACACCAATGAAACGACAAAATTACTCACCCACTCCCTTATCTCTCGTCTTGACTATTACAACTCCCTCCTCATAGGCCTTCCACTACACAGGCTATCCCCCCTTCAATCTATCATGAATGCAGCTGCTAGACTCATCAACCTAGCCAACCGCTCAGTGTCTGCAACCCCCCTCTGCCAAATCGAACTCCACGGTGCCGGGCAGTGAGCACAGGGCCCACTAGAGGACGTCGGGCCCTCATGAAGTCTGTTTCTGATTGTTTGGTCAGAGACATTCACACCAGTGGCCTGCTGGAGGTCATTTTGTAGGGCTCTGGCAGTGCTCATCCTGTTCCTCCTTGCACAAAGGAGCAGATACCGGACCTGCTGATGGGTTAAGGGCATTCTATGGCCCTGTCCAGCTCTCATACAGTAACTGCCTGTGTATTGGAATCTCCTCCATGCTCTTGAGACTGTGCGGCGAAACACAGCAAACCTTCTGGCAATGGCACGTATTGATGGGCTATCCTGAAGGAGTTGGCAAGCCAGTGCAACCTCTTTAGGGTCCAGGTATCGCCTCATGCTACCAGTAGTGACACTGACTCTAGCCAAATGCAAAACTAGTGAAAAACAGTCAGAAAAGATGAATAGGGTAAAAAATATCAGTGGCCTCCACCTGTAAAACCATTCCTGTTTTGGAGGTCGTCTCATTGTTGCCCATCTAGTGCACCTGTTAATTTCATTGACACCAAAAGCAGCTGAAACTGATTAACAACTCCCTCTGGTAAGTAACCTGGCCTTATCAATATCCCAGGAGTTTCATTGACTTGATGCTATACTCCGATTAAAAAGTGTTCCTTTAATGTTTTTACACACACAGGTATTGCCTCCAACAGATCACAGTACTCCCCCTGACAATGCCATTATCGGCTTCCTAGACTGATATGCTGGCTTAAAGATTACATAATCATATAAATCCTTGTGCCTCTGCATAAGGAGAAAGTAGAATGAGCTTATCAGTTTTCTGCTTCTCCTTATCCAGTCACATGGTGGGGATGGGGAGAGGGAAAATATCTAAGACAAAGCAAAATAAAAAAGAGCAGGTCCCCTCCCCTGCTAGACAGGGCTAAGCTATGAGGGATTGTGCTTTGAAAATGTCAGGATTGGCGGGACAGAAAATCAAATCCTTTGTCAGGTAAAACAACTCTCATATATGTATTTTAACTGTAAGTGATACATACTAAAATCACAAACTATGATCTAGTGAAAAAGGTTTCAACCTGGTAATGAAAGGGTTAAATGACTTCTTCTACAAAGATCACCACTACTCAGTCACCTTCCCCTATTAATGTACCAGACCCACCATCGCACTTGTTACTTTCCTGTTTTGACTCTGTCACCACAGAGGAGGTTACAAAGCTTCTCACTCACACCACTAGCTCCCTGGAACACCACTACTTCGGTCACCCTCTTGCTCTATCCTACACTCTCTTTCTCACATTTTCCAATCTTTCTCTCTCTACTAGCATCTTTCCTTCCCCTCTAAAGCATGCGCTGATCACCCCAATACCCAAAAAACCCTCACTGGACCCAACCAACCTCAAACCTATCTCCTTACTCCCATTCATCTCCAAACTCCTAGAATGCCTAATCTACAACTGTCTGAGCTGCCGCCTTGCTAATAACTTTCTGGACCCCTTACAGTCCGGCTTTCGCCCCGTACACTCCACTGAAACCGCCCTCCTAAAACTCACCAATGACATTAATAACAGCTAAAAACAATGGCCACTACTCCTTACTCTTGCTATTAGACCTTTCTGCTGCTTTTGACACTGTTGACCACCCGCTCCTCCTCAAAAAAACTCCACTCGCTTGGACTACAAGACTCTGCTCTGTCATGGTTATCCTCCTACCTAGATAGACTCAGTGTCCTTGCGTGTCACTAATCTACTAACTGACATATCAGTCTGGATGTCACAACACTTCTTAAAACTCAATCTGTCAAAAACTGAGGTCATGATATTTCATCCTGTCCGTGCATCTTCCTCCCAACTTTTCCCTTGAGATTAATAAGACAACTATCCAGCCCTCCTCCCATGCCAATGTGCTAGGTGTCATCCTGGATTCAGACTTCACATTTCTGCCCCACATCCAATCACTATCCAAATCCTGCCGCCTTCACCTTCGTAACAGCTCCAAAATACGCCCCTTCCACACCAATGAAACGACAAAATTACTCACCCACTCCCTTATCTCTCGTCTTGACTATTACAACTCCCTCCTCATAGGCCTTCCACTACACAGGCTATCCCCCCTTCAATCTATCATGAATGCAGCTGCTAGACTCATCAACCTAGCCAACCGCTCAGTGTCTGCAACCCCCCTCTGCCAAATCGAACTCCACGGTGCCGGGCAGTGAGCACAGGGCCCACTAGAGGACGTCGGGCCCTCATGAAGTCTGTTTCTGATTGTTTGGTCAGAGACATTCACACCAGTGGCCTGCTGGAGGTCATTTTGTAGGGCTCTGGCAGTGCTCATCCTGTTCCTCCTTGCACAAAGGAGCAGATACCGGACCTGCTGATGGGTTAAGGGCATTCTATGGCCCTGTCCAGCTCTCATACAGTAACTGCCTGTGTATTGGAATCTCCTCCATGCTCTTGAGACTGTGCGGCGAAACACAGCAAACCTTCTGGCAATGGCACGTATTGATGGGCTATCCTGAAGGAGTTGGCAAGCCAGTGCAACCTCTTTAGGGTCCAGGTATCGCCTCATGCTACCAGTAGTGACACTGACTCTAGCCAAATGCAAAACTAGTGAAAAACAGTCAGAAAAGATGAATAGGGTAAAAAATATCAGTGGCCTCCACCTGTAAAACCATTCCTGTTTTGGAGGTCGTCTCATTGTTGCCCATCTAGTGCACCTGTTAATTTCATTGACACCAAAAGCAGCTGAAACTGATTAACAACTCCCTCTGGTAAGTAACCTGGCCTTATCAATATCCCAGGAGTTTCATTGACTTGATGCTATACTCCGATTAAAAAGTGTTCCTTTAATGTTTTT